CCGCACAACATGATCTACTCGACCACCATTATGGTTACCGCCATAAAAAAACCAGAGGTAAAGAAAAAAAACGGTAACCTGGTTGCGGAGTTCACGAAGAGAATTGGCTTGTTTTACAACATCGTTGCCAAGCGACGATAAACCAACCCCGATGGCAAACACCGAGGGGGACGGCTTGTTTTACAACGTTGCCAAGCGACGAAAACCCAACCCCGATGGCAAACACCGAGGGGGACGGATTGTTTTACAACGTCGTTGCCAAGCGACGAAAACCCAACCCCGATGGCAAACANGTAGGGAGGGTGTAGCCTGGGTACATTACCCATCTCTAGTGCTGCATTCAGCAGGAGGTGGAGTGACGTTAAGGTCGGAAAGCCTACCCAAGAGGCGCCGTGAGGAGACGCACATGTACACACGTCTCCACCTTCTTGCGGGGTATGCAGAGAAGGCCAGAATGATGCCGGCCGGGAGAAAGAAAAACATGGTACTACAAGAGGAATCTCCTGAGGATGACCTCGAGTCCCCTTCCCATGCTCTCCCGGGCTAAATGTATGGAAAAAACATGGGTCTGCGCAACGAGCTCATGCGAAGGACAGTATACCAAAAACGGCAACAACCAACAGCAGCAGCAGCAGCAGCAGCAACGCCAACGATAACAACAACCAACCACCAACCACCAACCACAACGCCAACCACACGAATAACTCTGTTGGCGTCCAGCCACAGCACGTAGGCGGGGTGCTCACCGTGTACTTCATCCTCTCCTTGGAATTGCTGAAATGCTTCTCCGAGATCAGGACCGGGTGGTGCGACAGCCTCGTCTCGACTCGAGTCCCCGTCGGCGTGTTCCCACACCTTCTCCATCAGGTACCCATTCGTGACGGACACCCGAACAAGCATGACATATACATAGCGCGGACACAGAAGACACACATGCCGGCGGCATGTGTGACGTTGTGTTGTCTTCAAACGCTGTACAGCCGTCGCTGGTTCGTGCCACTGCTGCCGCTTCGGCGTCAGCAATCGTGTGCTGGCTATCGACACCGTCGTTGACACAACTTGATTCGCTTGCATCAAAAGTCGTCCATGGACACATGTGTGTCAAGCAACAAAATCGGTGAAATCCTGTTGTTGCGCTGTAAGAAACATCACACTACAAGGAAGCGAGATGCACTTGTCCGGGTGCAGCCGCCAACCAACCCATTGGTACAACCTTGTTGTCACAAAAGAAAGGAAAGCCTCATGCCGTCCAGGCCATGCTGCACAGCCTTCTCACTCAACTCTCCCTCAGTTTCCACACGGCCCCGCGGCAGCATCCTGGAAACCCGACCAAAGGATGGGTCCATACGACAAATAATCACCAAAAACAGAGCCACCTCTCACCGAACCCGTCCTCCATGAGCGGCACTACATTCATGTCCGCCTCGCTGCCCATCAAGCTATCCGCATCCCATCGACAAACCGTCCTCGCGTCTCCCCTTTTTTTTCTCTCCGTTTGCGGCGCCCCCTTCTGCTTCCCCCGGGCACCCTAGCGCCACCGGCAAGCTGCGCCCCCCCTGCCTTCCCGGTGGGGCTGCCCATTGGCGGGGGGGGGGGATGCAACTTTCTCCTTGCCGGTGCCCACCCCCTCCCCGCTCTTGAGGGGCTGTCGGCGCTGTCGGCGGCGGTGTCCATCTCTGCTTCTGAGCGTCCCGTGGCCTCCAAGTCTACCGTTCTGCCAACCAGCTGCTATCAGTGCTGTTTCGATGGAGGGGGGGGCGTACTCTGATATTTTGCATGCCTTAGCGCTTAGACCATTGACCACGCGTCCTCGAGAGGACGGAGCATTCCCACAGGACCGATCACCTCTGGCCAATCTTCCCTTTCTAATTTGCCAAAGGTGGCTCAAAAATGCCTTTCTTAGTCTGTCTATCCTAACGATCTCCCTTCCCGCCTTTTCAACCCACCTCCTGTGCCCCAGTACAGCTACCGTCCTTTCCTCTCTATTCCATGCCTCAAACATCTCCATGGACGTCCCATCTATTTTTCCCAGCTCAGTCACGTACACTTCCCTCTCCTTCTTGTACCTCGGACATTCCGCGAATACTACATGAACATGGTCTTCGCATTCGAAGCCGCAATCACATTTGAAGTGGTCGTCTTCCTCGTCTACCGTTATATGTCTTCGTCGACGTTCTCGAAGGCCTATGTCCCCCGTCCTGAATTTGACCTTAAGCTTTGTTCCTGCACCCATTGGTCCGTATAGGTAATCCTTGAGCCCTCTTCCTTCCTTCAACATTCCGTGCACTTCTAGACCCTCCTTATCCTTAGATTATTTCCTCAGATTCTGTTCTTCTCCTTGAACCTCTTTAGACCCTCCGTTTCCAGCGTTTCATGTTCGTCGATGTCGAGCCCCTTCCATACGTCCTCTACAACCTTGACCCATTCCGTGGGTTGTCTACCCCTCTTTTTTGTTGCCCACTTCGCCTCCCATACAATTGTCGGTCACCTCTCCTCTCCCATCCCGCACATACGATACTGCCATGTCAGCTTCCTCGCGTCTCTTGGCGGGTGAGCAGGATCTTAGGCTATGCAAGTAGTCCCTGAACTTATTGTGGTGAAAATGACCTCCCAGGAGGAAAGTAGCCTGTACCGCGGGACTTCGGATGATAAATTGGGTGGTCGGAGGACGTCTGGGTGTTTACTAAGCAGAGCGCCCGGCACAAGACTGGGGTACTTGTGTCAGGAGGTGTGAACTTGGATCTAGACTACGAGCCT